TCGTGAGATGGACAAGTGAGATGCACATACTCTCCAACTGGATGATTACAATCATGCAAAAATTGAAACTCATTATCTTTTCAATTTTGTCAATATAATCCTATATCTTTATGTGACCATCATGCCAGCAATTTTTGACAAAAATTGATTAGAATAACTACATTTGAATTTCGCATAAGGGATTAGGATTAAATTAGAAAAATCAAAAAATTTAAGATTGAATCGGCATCCATACAATATATTTATGACTGATCAGATAATTTCTCAAAAAAGCATATTTACTATCCCGTTGTGGCAATAGTAGATTTCACCACCCACAACTTTCTTCTGCGATTCATATGTATAGTTTGGTTGAACTAATCTTTTTTTTACGGGAGTTCGCACTGTTTTTTCCAAGATTTGACTGAAAAATGAGCTATATACAGAAGAATTCATACCGAATCTCCACTCTGGTGTTGATTTAAATTTTCTTTTTCGTTTTCGTCAGACGTTTATCATTCTTTTTTTTTTTTGAAGTTTATCATTTGAAAAATGTAAAATGTCTGAAATACTTTTGACGGTGACCCCCCACGCGTATCGGTCGTCATCCCCATATGTTCTAGAAAAAGTCAATGCCGATTTTGCCATGCTAGTCATGTCATTGTCTAAGCCATATTGCCGTGGGGTGTGGAAAAGGATTGCCATATTTTACGCACATATGACAAAAACAAAAGACTTTATGCATGTACCATGACGTCGAGCTCGGAAAATGGTTGACAAAATGCTTGAAAATCCAGAAGGCAAAAAGCATGATTTAGGAGCCTTTTTCTATCTAAATAACATAGCACACAAAACTTGTTTTATAGCCAACTTGTGAGTTTTGTTCTCTTTTGATCCGGTAGTCACCAAAGGGCCGGGATGAGATCCCCGAGGATTCATGGTACCCCGAGTTCCAGTTGCATCGGATCACGTGGTGAGCTGCGATCGAATTGTCTATTCTCTTTAGGCATCGTCATAAAGATCTCATGTCGGATACTGAATCTGCAAATCAGAGATCGGGGAGAGATCATCATCACTCAACGCTACAAATAACGCATTGCTTCAAGTTCAAGATAGGCCAGCCCCATACCATAACGTAGCTCCATCGAGGCATTAGAGGTCTGGAATCCTTTCACAAAAAGCAAAATTACATAGCTTACAATTGTAAGCAGGTACAAAAGCATGATGCCATGTTGCCTTCCATGTGAAAAGACTACTCGTGGGATGCCAATTGCCCTTCAACCGAAGATGTCAAGATCACATTAATATAAAAGGTCGGTCGGCCCAATCCCTTTGACGTAATGTGGATGATTCGTCAACGAGGACCCATAAATTCAAAGGTTCTTCTCCTTTGGCGTGCGGTATTCCAGCAACTACGTCTAAAGTATTGAAGGGTTAAATTGTTTTACAGGCCATCGACTAGAAAGAGAATTACATATATAAATTGGACCGTCACTAGTAATGCATGTGGAAAAGAAAAGGTTTAGGTTAAGGTGACAAGGTTCGATAATGCAATGCTTGTTTATCCCCCAAAAGGTAAATATCGATATGACATAATATTAAAGCGCGAAAATTAGTCATGTAACATAAAAAGCGAATGTCGGGTTTGGAGATTCGAACATGAGGGGGGGCGGGGCAAGAGCCTTTGCTTGGACCTCTATGATGATGAGATGTCAACAACTCAAATATGAAAACTTAGGGTTAATACCACGAAAAACTCCAAACTGGTACACCTCTGATAATTTTATCCCAAATTAATTTTTTGACCAACCAAAATTCCAAACTGATACACCTATGACAAATTTACCCTCTGTTAGTTTCCTTTAAATTTTACCGTTAAATTAGTGAGTTTGATGCACGTGGCAATTGACGAGTGTATCAGTTTAGGGTTTTAACAATCTATTTGTGACAGAATTGCTAATTTGTGATTTTTTGTAGTATTAATCCAATTTAACAGAGGGTAAATTTGTCACAATTGTACCAATTTGGGGTTTTTTGTGGTAAAAAAATTAGTTTGAAGTAAAATTGTCACATGTGTACCAGTTTGGGGTTTTTTGTGGTATAAACCCAAAACTTTAAGCAATTAGAGAACTAGACATGATCAAGCGAGTTATGCAGAACTAACTAGATAAAAAGAGCTAATTTTATCCTAAAAGGAATAATTATCAATAAGGAATAAGCACCGTAAAATCGCACCTATTTGCTCTTTAATATGGAGGCACATGTTATGAGAAAATTTGAGTAGTCGAATAAAATTAATTATAATTAAGGATAAGTCATTAAGGTGAGGAAATCATAACAATTGTTTCATGATGAGTAGTGATATATGCTTAGGTAGAGGTTTTCTCTTTGGAGAATGCAACAAATTCTATGTTTGTAATGATATAAAAAAGACGTTTCTAATTATTTAGAGTTCTATGTGTCATTATGAGAGACGACTCATTATATAAATATATATATTATATATTAAGATCTTGGATTTTCTTAAAAGAGAGGTCTTCTTTTAAGAATTGAAGTTGATTTTCATTATCTTTAATAATACAATTGATTTCGGAGATCGAGTGTTCTTGCAAGAGACTTATGTTCCTTGTCTGTTTTTTTGTGATAAAATTAGAAATGATTTTATATCGAAAAGCGTTTGTTTCTATACCTTCACTTGTTACTTCGGAAGGCTGGATTAGTTGGATGAAATGTGTACCAAAAGCATTTACGCCAAAAAGTGACCAATTTTTTGTTACCATTGACGTACGATAGACTTAGTTTTTTTTTCGGTCGAAAACGATAGATTTAGTTGATAAAAGCCAAGTTTGGTAATTTATTATCGACTATGTGAAGAATCGTCAACTTGAAGGAATCAACAAAAAGTAGAGTCAACAATATCATATGCAACCATCAAAGAAGTAACTGCCAATGTAATGGAACAAAGGAACCGTTAACATAATAGAGTTGAAGAAACTGTCCAAGTAGTGGAGTTGAGAAAGCCGTCAAGAAAGTGGGAACAGCATAACCGTCGATAACCGTTTGTAACTTTTGTTGGTAACTTGCCTTTGTAATTTCTGTTTGTAACCTCCTTTGTAACTTCGTCTTATAACCTCCGTTTGTAACTGTGGTTTGTAATTGCTATTTGTAACCTCCATTGATAACCGTCGATCGTAGGCTTTAAATAGTCACATCGTACTCTTCGAAGATCCCCCAACAAATCAATCAAAATGCTATCTCTCAATTATCTTTACTTTCCTAAACTGCATTTTATTTTTCCTTAGATGTAGCTTTCCGTTTCGTCTCATTGATTGAATTCGGTGTGTATCTCTATCATAGGTATTGCGTCGTCTATTAAATTCCGGCGTTACATTTTTGCATATTCTCAAGCTTCGTCGTCGATTAAATTCTGGCACAGTTTGTGTACGTGTATTTATGTGAAAGTAGCTGTATTTTCAAGCTTTGTTGTCGATTAAATTCTGATACGGTTTGTACTTACATTTCAATTCAAAATTCGAAATAAAAGTTTGGAGTTATTTCTTGTCTGTCCGGATATTTCCTATTTGGAATCACCACAGAACCTGTCTTCTCTCATTAAAAGCCGAGGAATGACTTTTAGTGAAAGATATTTCGTTGAGAAAGTAATTTTGGTGAAACACTATTTTAAGTGTATATAGGTTATGATGTCAATCCCAAGTTTCCATTAAGATGAAATAGAAGTACAAGCAGCATAACCGCACTAGCGACGGCCAACACCGGTGGCGGTGGTGTCGAGATCAACAACCTTAAAAAGACTCAAAGTCGAATGAATTTTTTGACGTTTACTAGTCCTCGTGCTAGTTGTCCTCTTTAATGAAACTCGTCTTTTTTCTTAATGAAAGAACCATGTTGCTTCCGTACTAAGGAATTCAAAAGGTTTAAGCACATGTTGGATGGGCGACGAATCCCGCCATAGTTCTACGAGTTCTTAGGGATTTCAAACATATTAATAGGGTTTGTCTGCAAAAGTTCTCCTTTTCATAGAAAAGATCCGAGAAGCATTGCCGGCAACGGGCACTAGTCGGGTTCGGGACGGATGATCTTGTCGGGAATCGAAACCCGATAAGTTCAATTAGATCTCAGATCTAGCGCAAAACTGAGTTGATCAGCGATGCTTTCACATGGGAGTCCTACACCCAACTCGTGAGATTATACGTGATCCAAAACCCGGTGACAACAATTCGTCTCGAGCTAAGTATTCTTCGATATAAAATAAATGGTTAATCATCTCATCACACTAAAAAGAAAAAAAAACCTCCTCTAATATGTATTAGTCCGATAGTCTAACCGATGATGAATCGGAATTACGCCAAGAGTACACTTTCGATTAATTTTCTTATCTTTAGATTAATTCTTTTATCTCATTAAGATTTTAATTGCTTTTGATCATGAATTGATATTGGGATTATTAAATTATTTCCAGTCAGCGATGCTTTCGCATGAGAGTCCTACACCCGACTCATAAGATTATATGTGATTCAAAAAATCAATAGCAACAATTCGCCTCAAGTTAAGTATTCTTTGATATAAAATAAATGGTTAATCATCCCATCACACTGAAAGAAAACTCCTCTAATGTGTATTAATCCGATAGTATAATAGATGATGACCCGGAATTATGCCGAGAGTACACTTTCGATTAATTTTCTTATCTTTGGATTAATTTATTGGGCTTGTTAAATCATTGCCAATCTTTGATGTTTCTTTTTCCATTCCGCTACCTTTGATCTAATTTCCTACCTTTTCTTGCTAACATTTTTTTCTTCCCTTTCTACAATTCCTAATACTCTGTTTTTCATTTTCATGTTCACAATGAAGACGAAACCTTAAATTTAGTGTGTAATAATGATGCTGTCATGAAAGCACGCAACTGTCTCTGTCCGGGCTCATCTGGGTTGACCCAAGAAAAGAGTTCCATTGGAAAGCGCAAGCTCTCTTGAAAAGATGAAACTGGCCGTAATAAAATCAGCAGCACCTTCGTCGCATCGCTTCTGTGAAACTTTGGGTCCATCTTTGTGTACGCGCGCACAGAGAGAGAGAGAGACGGTGGTCTCTTGCTTCTCGTAGCTGAAGCCATGATGAGAAGCTTTTTCAGCAACAGTCAGCACGCCAAATCTTATCGTTTTCTTGGTGCTTTTCGACAGGCCTTGATTTGTTTAATGTAGAGACGCGCAGTTTTTCCGTTGCCCATCCTCGCAAGAAAGAGCCCGCGGTCCTCCTTCGCCAACCGAACTCGACCTAACGCATCACCCCACGTGCGAAGCTTCTATCTTGTTTGGCCTCTCATTCTTCATTTTAAAGAAGCAAAAGCAGAGGCAGAGCATGTAGGCAATTCGCGTGGAAAAGTCTGAACCTTTTCCATAGGTGAGTTATTTGATTCAAACTTTGCCGTCATTTTCTTGATTTTTTCTGAAAAATCTCTCGAACTTCTGTTCTCTGTCTCTTTCTCTCTCTCTCAGGTGGGTGTTCTCTTGGTTCAAAGTCTTCTCTCGCTGGTTCAGTTTTCCCATGCTAATTCTTTTTCCTTTTTCTCATTTTTCACGTGGGTATTCAGAGGTTGTAGTTAATCTTTCCAGTTTTAACTCTTATGCTCTCAGCATCTTTCTGTGGAAGAGTTTTGTGTTGTGAATTCATATCTGGGTCTTTGATCTCGTTTGTGTTAAACGGTTCCCTTCTGGTGACTGCGCAAAATTTTCTTGTCTGGTTGTTTCATAGCTTGTTTCCTCCTCTTCTTGCCCCTCTCGCGTGAATTTGCTCGGGGGTGCCATTGGCGTTGACCTGTTTGTTCTTTTTCATTTCGTCAGACCTTATTTTTCTAATGCTAGTTAGCTAGGCGCGAGTATCTGACTATCGATCGCCGGTGAATTGTGACAGAACAGAAACAAAGAATGATTAAAATTTGATATGGGGACTCTTCTTTAATTTGGAGCAGATTTTCTTTTTTCCTTGGCTGTTGCTGTCTCTTTCTTTCCCCATCGGTTGTCGGGGAGGTGATTTGTTTGACTTCGTAAAATATATCTCCACAATGGAAGACTTGACTAGGAAGAGCTTACATTTGTAATCCTTGCTTGTTGATTTGTAGTCATCACATTATTGATTCGCTGGCACAAAGCAAGGTCCAGCTATTTTGAATTTTTGATTTGGGAAGACAGCATCGAGTTGTATGCAATGGAGTGCTTCTACTACTTCAAGAACAGATTGAAACCCAAGGAACGGAGATCGGCGCCGGAGTTGGAGAGAAAATCGGATAGTTCAGCGGCCACCACCGATCGTGTCGCTAAGTCGTCGTGCTCAGCCAATTCGCCACGCGGTATACCAGAACTCTATGAGGAGAAGGCCCACAATTTGCGGGTGTTTTCTTTCTCGGAGCTCAGGCAAGCAACCAATGATTTTAGCAGGCTTCTTAAGATTGGAGAAGGTGGATTTGGGTGTGTTTATAAAGGTTCCATTAAGCCTGTCGACCGAAAGGGCGAGCCAGTGCAGGTTGCCATTAAGAAGCTTAACAGGGATGGGTTGCAGGTGCGGAATTCTGCATTCTTTTTACAGTATTTGTTGTGGACAATACAGAGAAGTTCAAATAAGTTGGCTTCTTTTCGTCACATTTCTTGAATTTGGAAATGCTTAATTCTTTGGATTTTCAATCCTAAGCTTTTAATAGCATTGATGCTCTCCGTAGACAACCTGCTTTGTGACTTTCGTCTTATCCTCATTTAAACTATATTCCAATGAACCTGTTTTCTCCTCATTCAGAGATCAAGGTCAGATTTTCGATTTTGCACAACTCCGTTAAAAAAAATTTGAGTGGGCCATCGTCTAAATGAAATAGCAGTATATTCAATTGATAGGTCAAGTAGATGCTCCGCAGCTAGAATTTTCCATCTACCGTATTCTTGTTTCTCTTTTCTGTTTAGGGTCATAAACAATGGATTGCAGAAGTTCAATTTCTCGGCGTTGTGGAGCATGCAAACCTTGTCAAACTCATAGGATATTGTTCTGAAGACAGCGAGCGAGGAAGGCAGCACCTTCTCGTGTACGAGTTTATGCCAAACAAAAGCTTGGAAGATCATCTTTTTAATAAAGCTTATGCTGCTCTTTCGTGGCAAGCTAGATTGAGAATATTACTTGGAGCAGCTCAAGGTTTGGCTTATCTTCACGAAGGATTAGAAGTTCAGGTACCATTATAGATCATCATTGACTTTCGAACATTTGCAGCTTCAATTTCTGCATCTTTGATTAGCTTCCAAACTTACTTTTTATGTTTTTAGAGTACAACTGTTTTTGCAAAACTAGCGAGTCTCGATGTATGCCTTTTGCATTTAAGGAACTTAGCTTATAGTGAGCTGGTTGGCTTGTCTTCCCCTAGTTAAATATGTGAGATGCGGTTCAACAGCCTTTTTCAGTAGCCTACACCATTGCCATGTTGACCAAATGCAGCCTCCCAATATGCTTTTCTCGGATTTTTTACATCATGAAGTGAACAGAAAGTGCTGCAAATATATATGATCTTTATACGACTTTGTCCTGAGAACTCTTTCTTTTTTTTTTTTTTTTGGTGAAAGGGAGAGGTACATCAAATGGCTTATATCTCCATTGTGTTAATGATGTGGTTCAGTGGTAATATTTGCTCAATGATCAGTTCATTTGGATTCTTAACTAGCTTGTTTAGGACGTATGACAGTTGAATTGAACTTAAGTCATTTAACTCAACCATGTTCAGTTCATGTTACTGACAAGTGGACCATATTGCTGGTTGGTTTTCTTCAAAACGCTGGACCTGGGTTCCTCACCTTCTACTGTTGAAGAGTTCATCACTTTGACTTAACAAAATTCGATAGATCAGGTTGAAGCTTAAATTATCTTGAGTCTTCAGTAAGTGGAGTAAGAATGATGAGGATATGCTTTATATGTCTCTAATATGTGGAAGAACTAAGATTCTATGCAAGGACAGGCAGCCCTTTCAGGAATCTATTGGAAAAACAATTGTGGTTTTCCGATCTTCTCAGCTGGATTTTGTTCCAATAATTTAAGTATTCAGCAATCCAACTTACTCAGTATCCATATGATGTTTCTAATCAAGTGACTTGATAGCAATCATTTCCTATTCTTCATTATTTATACATACTGATGCTAGTGTTTCGAGTCATTGTTTGATGTACTAAAAAGTTATCAGCTGCATCATTTGTCTACTATGGGCTGAGTTGCGAAGCTCCAGGCTATTGTCAGGAATTTTGTATCCTCCATTCAAATCGATTTGCTTTCACTCTGAACGTGTAGGTGATACACAGAGATTATAAGTCCTCGAATGTATTATTGGATGAGGACTTCAAACCAAAGCTTTCAGACTTCGGGCTTGCACGGGAGGGACCAACACATGACCGTACTCATGTTTCAACTGCTGTAAGTTACACTTAACTCATTCTCGACCCCCTGTAGCCAATTGTTTAGAGACGGTAATTGTTCTTCCGTGGAAGACTTGGTAACATTTGTTGAGCTAAAAGTTTTCACGGTGCTCAAATCCTTTTTCTCAATTAGGAAAGTAACTATGGGAGCATTGACAATCTTTTCCAATTTGAAGATCTATCCGTAAGACCAAAAAAACAAAGGTGTTTGGCTTTGTTGAAATGACCAATAGCCTGTCTCAATTCTGGGCAGAACATTTTCTCAAAATTCAGTGCATGGCTTATCTAAAATCGTTATTTTTTCATATGAACCAAATCTTGCAATGGGAACAGAAGAATTTTACAACTTCATTGCTTATGATAACTTTTTCCTTGACCAGGTGGTAGGAACACATGGATATGCTGCTCCTGATTACATTGAAACTGGTCACTTGACAACTAAAAGCGATGTGTGGAGTTTCGGTGTTGTTTTGTATGAAGTGCTCACTGGAAGGCGATCACTGGAGAGGAACCGTCCGAGAACTGAACAAAAACTTTTGGAATGGGTGAAACACTATCCTGCTGATAGTAAGAAATTCAGCTCAATAATTGATCCCCGACTCGAGAATCAGTACTCAATCAGTGCGGCTCGCAAGATTGCTAAATTAGCAGACAGTTGCTTGTTAAAGAGTTCAAAAGATCGGCCGAAGATGAGTCAAGTGGTGCACGGTTTGCAGGAGATAATACAGGTTTCGGGTGCCGGAGATGATGCAAATCAGGCAGCAGATAGGAGCTCCGACTTTAGTGAGAATGAACCGGTCGACTCTGAATCGAAGCCTGGTGAATCCGGAACTTCTGAGTCATGGAAAAGGCGAATGGCCCATTTAGCTAAATTGGGAGAGCATGTTGAGAGCGCAAGCAGGAGAAGATTTATGATCATGCAGAGGGCAAGAGTGCAATAAAATCTTGCTCTTCTTAATGCAATCGGATTACTCCAATATTTTCGCTCAATGTCATATAAACTTGAGATTTTTCGCTCGGCTCGGCTCGGCTCAGCTCTTCCTTTGTACAGGTAACGGAAGAGAGATGGTAAATAGATTGTTTCGTTTATCATTTTGTATGTATCTACATGTTCCTGCTTCTTGACATGAATAGATCTCAGGGATGTATGTACTTTAGCAGTCTGCCGCTCCAGAATCTAATTTTCAGAGTGAATTTGTGGCGTTTTTTTTACTCTCGAGAAAGAAACCTGTCTGCCGAAAGCTACGTCCTCGCGATGAAACTTACGCGTTGCATTGCCATCACGAGTCTGTCTTAAAAACTTATCAGCCACACGAATAAGTTAATAACCACGTAAAATTAATTTGTTCGTTTCTTTTAGCAAGATCACTAACTATACACTTACCAGTTATATAAATGAGCGAACTTGCATTTTTCTTTTTCCACGAAAGGTTACCATCAACTTTAATAAGTTGCTAACTCAAGTTACTCATTGTGGCTAACTTTTCGAACTTAAATTTATTAATCAGATCAATCTTTGACGGGGCTAAGTTTCTAAATAGGATTCTTTCTTTTTTGCTTTTCTTCTTCGTTTTAAGTATGACCTCTGTACCAAACGAATTCTCATATTAGTCTTGTGCCTACACACTTGACATGGTAGCACTTTGCAGTTACATCAATCTGGTAGTTTTCACTGCATAAGTAGCTGAAAATCATGTAAAGTAGCAACGAAAATGAACATTGCCCAACAACTCAATGCAAGAGAGACTAGGCAAGATTGAATGTGATGTTGTTACTTCAACATCAACATTCAACATACTTGAGGTACACTTTGTCAGTGATCCGAAATCCATTTCGCGTGCATGAAGGTTTTCAACACCTTCGTCGTCGAAAATGATTCAGTCCACTTAATTCAGCGTGGCTCTTATATGCCCATATTGAAAAAGGGAACGTACCTATCCAGAGCTAATGGATGGCAATTCCATACTACTAAAGGTGATAGAGGTGGTAAGAAAAGAAAATAGCCGACTGGAGGGCAGCGCCATATGTTCTAACAGACGGTACCTTACCCCCGCAAAGTTTCTCTCAGCCCTTGCTCTGATGTGTCCTGCCGAAAGGATCTGACTATATTACGAGGGAAATGCATGGAGTTTGTGGAGTTCACACACGGGACGAGCGTTAGCCCATAAAGCAATGTGAGGGCTATCATTGGCCCTCAACTACGAAGATGCCGAGGCACGTGCTCGTCCGAAGCTTGTCAGAAACACTCTTTAAATCCTCAACTGACACCCGGTGATCTGCTTCCCATACCTTCTTCCTGGTCCTTTTGCCACCTTTCCCATCTGCCTGAGGACATAAGGTTCGCATTAGTAAACAAAGGATTGTTTCACCAGGTGTAAGTAGACAGAAACTGTGAACAAGATCTTTTTTTTTTGGTAACCGACAGTGAACAAGATCTTTGTAGATGCAATATAAGAGAAGGTTGACAGCTCTCAAAGGGAGCTGAGATGACAAGCTTCCAAAGGGTCTTATTGGCCAATTGGACGACATACAAAGAACACGACGTGCAAAACTACGTGTACAAGAATCTTGGAGAGAAGACGATGACATGAGTTACGAGGTCGTCGGAACTTCTGGGTTGGAGGTTGCAGGTGGTGCAGCCGGTCTAGACCGAGAAGAAGGCGGCGGCTCAGCAGGCCTAAGTCAAAGAGAAGAAGACTGACATGTAGGAACCCCGATCTGAGAGCTTGAGCTAGCCATTTGACCATAGTAGAAGCAGCATTGAGGGAGAGGGAAAAAGGCGAATTTGATTTTGAGATAAGTTTTCTGCAACTTTTTGTGAATATAAGTTTTGATGAATCCGAACCTTAAATACGTGAAAAATGGACTGTACCGATTAGACTGTTCGAAAAATCAACCCTCCAAAATTAGCCCGAGAAATCCCGCTCAAAAGAACATTCACAATTAACAGAGAAATCAATGGTCACAATTGGTTGTCGATTTTGCCACCATCGACGGGCTAGATTGTCAATGTAACTTCCTCTACATGCCCCCGCACAAATCTCAGAGTAGAAATCAAAGTTTATGCAATGGGCGTTCGTTACATCGATGTCCCATAGTCGAGATATGGGCTACTAATTCCAATGGCGCAAAATGTGACATCTTGATTTCCTTCTGTTTAGCATTGATCCTCAAGTCAGGAAGGAAATAATTAGAAACCATTTACTCTCGACCTGTCAAGCTAACTGACGAGACAAAGTGAGAGGAGGGTAAGTGATAGAAGCGGTTTTAAATAATCTATTGATAGACATGTTCCTTCTAAGCCGACAATACAAGTGCACCACCCGACATGAAGACCCGATAGAACATGATTTTCAAGGTCCGAGCTGCAGATAACACTTGACAAGACAACACTTTAGGATCACCTAATTCTAGGCAAGAATCATGAATGCTATCTAAAAGACTAGACATGCATTGATCCCTAAAGTTGGTACAAACGTAACTTGTCAAGCCGTCTTATCTATGTGTCACGCGAAGATCACCACTCATCAAGTATGTCTCGACAACCCACTCAAGGGGTAACCTATAGAATAGTGATTCAAGCACACAAAAGTACAGGGTTGGTCATTTCTCATCTCCTGAATTCTCTCTCTCACATAAACGCGAACTTGAATATGCTCCGGTGAAGTTCACAGAGAGTCAGAGATCAATCAATTCGATTCCCCTAGAAGCCAATTGCTCGATTACATATGGAATGGTAAGAAAATATGAAATACATTTGATCTTAAACTCCAATCAAAGTAATCATATCCTGATTGTATGCATAGGGCGACGATGGACATTGACAGAATCATATTTTCGGTGCTTGTCAATATTTCTTCTTTGATAAGTTTTATGGTAAAGTTTTAGAGCTAGCTTCTGGATATGGGAAATAAGGAATGGGGGCCGCCACTTAACTTTTGATTTTAGTTTTGACTCTTGCTGATCTGAACGCAGAAGGTATTCTCAAATGGGACGCACTTCAAAAGGTCTATGGCATCAACCTTTTTGGCCGTGGAAATATAACCTTCCTAAAAGTCAAACCAAAAACTTTGAAAATCAATTATAAACTGCTTCAATTTCCCACATATTCTGTTTTGAGAAAACAAAATGCCAAAGATTGTATTAAAGCTGCTGTGGTTTGCCGAAGCATTCAAGGGGACTGGTGAGGATGTAGAATTACCTTTCTTTTTCCGGGATAAAATGCTGGATATTCTGTGATTGACATGAGAGACCGGAAAGCTTCAATGTAGTAATCTGCCAAATTTACGGTTCAACCAGACCTTCTCCTGATAATAGAAGAAAGTAGATTGCACATGTCACTACCTCTTCTCTCACTAAAAAAGTTTGCTTGATCTTATTTTGACCACGGGCAGCACATATTCCTGTTCAACTTTTCTCTCTTATGATCAGGAACTTGAAGCACATACCAGAGCAGGTTAAGTGCCCCAAAATAGCCAACTCGTTAATCAGTACCTTCCATTCTGTGAGGAAGTGAGCGGGGAAGGAAGCAATAGAAGAAGGCCTGCATGTAACATTCGCCATGGGCATGATCACTTCTGATATATTGCGTCGGAAAAATTGTGATGATGACTAAATAAACTGCTCCATTTCCACCAAAACTGAAAGCTCTTGGCCTGGGGCGGGTCACTTGAAGTGATCGTCTGCAGACGAGCCACTCAAGCAATACCATGCTGGAACTCCACACCTCACTCTTAGTTGTTAAACTGCCAGTCTCAATGCAATCAGGAGCTCAACTACATGCGTTCCAATCACCTGCCCAAGAAAATCAGATATAATAACCATCGCATTCTTGTGGCCCCAGTCCATCACTTACTTGATATCAAATAATTAACTGCAAAACAGATGGTATGTAATAGACACGAAAAAACCGAGAAAGCTAAATTAAGCTAGATTTTCTTTTTTGGCCAGTAACTAGATTCAGCTAGATCAACCATCATAAATTAATCAAGATGAAAATGATAAGAAAGCTAATTTTTCTCCGATGGAAGGCAGGAAGGATGTCTGCATGCATCGGAATCAGAAAGTATCTACAAAGAGATAAAGAACACAAATTAAACTTCATCATTAGATCTTTTGAATCTAGAAAAATAAAAAATATATCTTCTGATTTTACAATACAAATGACTATGAATCCATTGCGCCAAAATTGCACTTCTCAACAGTAATAGGAAAGGTAGATTCTGACAATTAAAATCTTGACCAACAACATAGGCCAGTCATGAATGGTCATAGCAAACTAGAAGTCATAAAAATCGCAGACTTTTTTCAATACTAGAAAATTCTGATGGGATGCTATTTGGCAGAACAGTCACTCTTTTGTCCAGATTGTAAAGAAAGATTTCACTCAAAATGTTTTGTCTGGAAACACTAGTATTTCAGCTTTTTCCCCTCCAAATGTACGAGGATATGCAGCTGGTAGCATGTATCCTTGTAAGAAGTTGAGCCATGGAATGAACCAAAACCACACATGCACGAAAAAATGAAAATAACGTGCCAGGAACACGAAGCTTCACACTCAACAGTTCATCATACCCCTCGATCCAGCCACCATCTGCAAATTTTTCTGGAAAATCTGACACACACACACACACTCCACTGAACAAATCTTGAGAATTGATGAACTTTTCTCAATCCAACTATCTAATTCATAGATCTACCATTATAAACTAGTTAGAAAATAAACAAAGAAGAGAAACATGAGTGTGGAGAGGTGGGTTGTTATAAAGCAGTTTAGCAAGAACAGTTGATGCTTAGTTCTTTGAGATATGCATCCAGGTAACTGAGTAGGCAACAGATTGATCTCCACATCAGATTTGGACTCAATGGCCTAGTGGGTCCATTTTGCAACGGATAGATTCTCCCCATTGGACTCCATAAATGGTATCAAAATCCTTCTTCCTGCATGGAATTGTATAGGCTAAGATAATCCATGCCGGAACAGAAATCTTTTCCCTGGACAGTTCAAGTGAGGGTATTAACCAAGAATAGGATTCTAACTAATCTTCTCAAAGGACTTGATTGCACAATCATCTAGAAGTAAGCAGAACTGAGTATGATACCAAGATTTTAATTGCTACTGCAATTATCCACTTCAAGATCTTAAACAGAGAAATTTTTTAAAGTCAACACAAATATTATGCAGAACCACTAAGGACATATTACCAAATTTAACCTAAAGAAAACATGCACTGCGAAGATCACAAACAAGGGCCATCTAATCCATCTCTCTCTAAGCCATGATTGAATAGAGAAGAGTTTAGAGAACTAATATGAACGTTGTCTGAATTTTCTAAAAGGTGCTTTTAGCAACCACACTCTGAACAACTTCAGTTCTGGGCAATTCTGCATTGGATCAGTACAGTAACTAAAAAGAGATCAATTCACATTACATAGACTAAGAGAAACCAGATCTCATGAGAGATATGGGGAGCCTAAATCATTCCTGTGCAAAAGCACTCATCCAATTTGCCACTTTCACTAGGAAGAAAGAACCTCTTCAATCAATCTTGAAGATAATGTAATCGGCAATCAACATTGCCTGATAATTAATTTGAAGCCACACAAGATAGTAATTCGATATGTTACCTGAACTCCTAACCCTTCAACCCGATAAGCTTATACTCAGGTTCCTCCAAGTAGTCTCCCAATCTTAGTCTGCCATGAGAGCTGGATGTACCATGAATTAGCTTTTCTTAGGCATGTGTTCAAAAACAGTACCAACTGAATTTGTTCTTTGCTGTCTTCACACAATATGATGCTCCACAAGACCAAAAAGTTGAACGTCAACAGCACTTTTCCTATAACCAAAACGGCAAAAGGAACTCCAACATCATTAACATATCATATCCGGAGCATATGTTTCATTTCTCAGTTGAACATAAAGCACCGCAAAAGCTCAAATAAGGAAAGTGCATTTAAGCTTTGGGTGCATGTGCAAATAATCAGAAAAAAGAACCTAGCTATCCCTTCTAGCACAAGCTTTCTTCACACACCCTTCAAAAGTTTAAAGTGCTATATGAAATGAAGCCGTGCTAATCCCTAAATCTTTCTTGGTCATGATAAAGTAACTGCATTCCTGAAAAGGTGGACTTCAAACTGGAGCTAACAACTTGTTAAATTGAACTCAAATGAATCTGATGGAGAGAAACTAAAAGCTATTTTTTACACCTAAAATCTTTCTCCAAAATCAAAGACCGACACAGACTTTATAGGAGTCATGCAGCATATCCTGACCAACGCAACCACATGAAGATAACCTTAACTGATCTCTCGAGTATTCATAGGTAGAACTCAAAGGCTAAGGTCAAGGTAAATTTTTCTCCCCAGGCTGACATTCGTGACTCAACATTACCAGTCCGATTTGGAAAGAGAAATAAAGGCTGATCAAGAGCAGCTACGTGTTTATTTAGAGCTACCATCAATGCACAGGTCTCCTTAGTTTCTTTCAGTATATAGCAGATTGAATCTCCAATCTATAGAGCAATTATTCCGAAAGTTTACCAATCAGGGAAGTGTTTTCAGAATATTTTCGTTTTCTGGAAGGTTTTTAATAAATATAGTAATTCAGAATATTGTCACCAGAAGATTGCATTTTACTTTTCATGTGATCTCAACAATCTTTTGATAGTTTCTAACAGATGCACGCAATGGTTCTAGATTGAACAAAGCAAAAGGTAGTTGTTTGCTTTCAAACCAAAATTTAAAATTTATTGTCCAGATTTCAAACGATTATGAAAGAATTATTTATGAATCTACATGCCAACATTTATATATTTGAGAGTTTCGGGTGTTTCAAATTAAAAAAGATCAAATCCATGAGCCATAAGATTTAGATTAGACTAAAAGCAAAAGTTAAGTCAATCTGGAGACACCATTACTAGGGGTTTTTCTCCAATTGATGCTTGGCAATTGGTGCTAAAAATTTCTACATCAGGGGATTTACTCCCAAACATTATGAGTAATAGATGAGATGCAATCATAAGATTGATGCATTTCTTTGGTAGAAGTAAAAATCACCAGCAAATTTCACTCTGCCGAAAGAACTCATGGCTCTAGTCCCATATGCCTTCAAGAGGCAAATCTGACAGCATTGTCACTCAGCCAGAACTTTTCCATTCAATCTTAAGTAGCAGTTAGCCACAAGACGTCCCAGCAAAAACTGCCAGTCAACTTTCCTCCCAAACCCCACCCTCTCAAGATAAAAGCCCATTTAAAGTTCATTATCAACTTGGTGAATACTTGTTTCACGAACTCTAATAACTTCAACAGTAAATCGGTAAGCTGCAAGTACAACTCTACAGCTAATTCACACTTTTGTTTTTGCTATCACTTACATTGATATGGAATTTAAACCAGGTGTTAACTATAAAAGAGTCAGCAGGGCAAGAACTATTACTACTTATGGTTACAAACTTTAAAGCAATAGGAAGACCAAACCTGTTAGTCTTATCAGTAAAATCTTCATTTGTATAGGCAGAATGAGATCAACTTGATGATATTTCTTCAGCCCCACAGTAACAGTCCTTCATCTTCTGTGCCAAACAATATACAGCATGTACAATAAATTTGAGAATAGGTAGACGTTTATCCACCATTGCATGAGAGTCTGCATCATTCACAGCCGAACCAAGTACTCGTCACATTTCAACCTTCATGGTGCACCAACACCATTACTCATAAATTTAATCACACTACGACTTGGTTCAATATACTGTCTATTTCTATACATATAATCGTAAGTAATGTACATCAAGGAATTTAAAAAGAGTCTCTTTTCAGAGGCACCACTGAACAGCTCAGCACTATTCTGCGTGCTTTCATAGGCTCTCTCAATAATTCTATCTGAAACCTCATCAAAGCCGAATGAAATTTCACTCAATTTCTGCCCCCACCATAAGGTTCTCTCAGGCATTCCCTGCTTCAAAAATTGTGACAGCAATGTATTTACCGTAACCACATTTGGAATGAAAGACATCTTAATCAGTTTAGCAGTAACTATCAACGCACGATCTAGTATGTCCCTGCAGATGCCATTCATCATTGTGTTATATGTGACTATATTTGGAGCAACACCTGCTGCAGCAAGCTCATCAAGTGTCATCACTGCTCTACTCATTTTCCTGCTACAGCAAAAACCGTGGATTCTTATATTAAACGTTGTAATATCTGGGTTCCATCCACTGGCGTAGATTTCATTCATGAATTTATCAGCACCAGCCGTGTCAAATGCTTTGCAATACCCATTTATCAAAGTGTTATATGTGACTATATCAGGGGTTAACCCAATTCGATGCATATCCATATACGCATCCATAGCAGACTTCAGTTTTCCGTGTTTGCAGAAACCATCAATAATAACATTGGAAGTAAAGACATCCGGAAGAAAACCCTTTTGCCTCATTTCTCTCTGCAACCTCACTGCTTGCTTTAGCTTCCCACAGTCACAAAAACCCCTAATCAAAGCGCTGTAGATATAACTGTTTGGAACTAATTCTTTCCTTAACATTTCCTGAAAAATATCGTATGCCTCCTCCACAAAACCTGCTTTTGATAGTCCATTGATGAAGGCTGAGAAGGCAATAGCATCAGGAGATATACCCCTGAGTTCCATCTCATCCCACAAACTCTGAGCCTGAGTTATGTCCCTTACTTTCAAATATCCATCCAAGAGAACTGTAAAGCCCACTTTGTTGACCGGGAAACCCCTTTCCATCATATCATACAAAAGACCTCTGGCTTCTTGCAACCTTCCTCTCTTTGACAAACCCAAAAGAAGAGAGCTGGATGTGGATGAAGAAGGTGACAGACCAAATCTCGTCAGTAGCTGATAAATCTCATAGGCTTTATCGTGCATCCCGACCCTACCATAAGCAGCAATAATTGTATTAAATGCAGTCAAGTTTACAGGTTCTCCTTTCTCAAGTATATCCCCCAGAAGTTCCACAGCCTCATCTATTTGACCAGTCCAACACAAACCTGCAACCGTTATATCATAGAGGGAATCCTTGGGAAGCAAGTTAGACGCAAGCATATCCTTGAACAATCTATCACCATCATCTTCCCTTCCGAACTTGTAATAACCACCAACCAGAATATTAAAGGTGACACAATCAGGAGATATGCCATTGCTCCGCATTTCTTCGTAAAGCATATTTGCCTGAAGAATGTCCCCTGCTTTAACATACCCGTCCATGAGAGAGTTATACATGAAAGTATATCCGGAAAGACCCATCTCGGGGACACTGTCGAAAAATTGTCTTGCTTTTGCCACATTGCCATCTTTACACAAGGCACTGATGACAGTATTTAACGTAACATTGCTAGGTCTACAACCTCTCTCAATCATAAGATACACCCAGTTTATTGCTACCAATGCCCTCCCGCCAGCGCAATATGCGCCAATCAGAATGTTGTAAGAATAAACATCAGGTCTGAAACCGAATTTTCCCATCACATGAAACAAATTCTCAGCTATTGTAACACGACCTTTCCTACAAAACCCAAGAAGCACTACATTTACAGATTTATTTGAAGGAAAAGGTCCCCTAAAAATCATGTCTCTAAACAACTTCCATAGATTACTGAAGTCACCTACTCTAAGCAAAGACTTCAAAAGAATAACCATTGCAGATTCGCTAGGCATCAGGTTCACTTCCCTCATCCTACTCAGAATCCCCACCGCCTCCTCACTCATCCCCACATTCAGAAATGCCCGCATAAGCGTATCAAGAATGGAGAAATCAGTTTCATAAAGGCCGTGCTTCTCCCACATAAACTCTACCAATTCCTTACTCCTGCACAGCCCAATTCTACTGATCAGCCACGAAGTGATATCCTGCGCGAGGAGACGGAGATCCTCGGCCGCCAACATATGCGCAGCCACGCAGCACGAGCGGACTTCCTCCTCGGAATCGCCTGCGAACACGAGCTTGAAGAATGCAAAAGCAGTATGGCGGGATTGCAAATTCTTCAATATCTTCACCAGGAAAAAGGGGCAGAATGTACCGAAAAAGGCCTTCAAGACGTACCCTTGTCTCCGCTTTATCAGTCTGGATAATCCGACAATGAGCCTTCGCCTTTCGTGCGAATTAAGGAAGCACAAATTATCAGCGCGCGAGCTCGAACGGGGCAAGAACTGACGCAAGAACCCGAAGCCGGGACTGCCGTCGGTCGAGCTAGAGCAGCAAGCGGAGTGCGACAGGCTTCGCCTGAAATGGGTTCGAGGAGCTAGGGCTTCTTGGAGGTGAGAGGGCGTGAAGTGAACGGACGCTTTCGCTCCGGGGTCTACTATGGAGTGCGACTTCGGTTGAGACGGAGGGACGGAGGCAGGGCAATGCACTCGGGGGTTGCGCACCCGGCGCAGGCTAGCTGACATCCGTAGAAGCCAGAGGCGGACGGCGTTTCGCGGCCGGATGTCCCCGCGCCCGAAGGTGGGAGACGGCGGCGGCGCGGAAAATGCAGCCACTCCTCGCGAGCGCCGATCCCTGAGCAAGCAAGAAGACGACGACGACGACGACGGCGAGGAAAAAGCGAATTAAACAAGAAGACGAGACGACGACGACGCCGACGTCGTTTTTTTGTTGGCACGTTAAAAGGTGTAATTTTTTTTTTAAATTTGCATTAAATCCATTCTTGTCTTAAATTCGAATAGAAATAAATAACATGTAAAGAATGACAAAAATTGCCACAACTGTCCTTTAATTGTATCGTTCTAATTTATTTGATTAAATAAACTATGAAATTTTTCGAAAAAATAAATAAACAAAATTATAAATAGATAAGAAAATTGAGGGAAATTCTACTAATGTGATTGTTAATAAATTGCGGAAGATCCTTAAATTATCTCAAACGGCCGGTAATTGTTTGATTTGGCTCATTTTCACTTTTAATCATAACTTTACTAATTAAACGAGCTATTATTATCTTGAAAAGAATGAAAATTAGAAAGTTAAAAATGGAAAATAAGGATGTTGCCAACGAATGGCCAAAAAATTAAAAAGGATGAAGAGGAGAAGTGATACGAAGAGGAGTGAAGGATTATCGAATTATGATATTCATAACTTAGCACATGACAATCATAATTTTAGTTAGTCAAAAGATTAATAAGAGCAAGAAAAGACATTATAATATTACGTTGTCAGGAAAATATAACAAAAGTAAATTTTATATAAAAATCCCAACGCAGGTTCCTGGATTCTCGGTGTCCAAGATTAGGTCTCCGACACCAAAGCCCGAGCCCATCGAGATAGGGCTCGTGACCTCAATGCTCTTTCCTAGGACCTCGACCCCTGTGCTCGAGTCAATTGAGTTCAAGCCTGGGCCTTGATGCCTGCACTCTAGTCCATCTAGGTTGTGCCCAAAGCTTTAGTACATGTGCCCAATGCCTCGGCACTTGGGTTTACAAAGATGGAGCGTTTGATCTCGATACCCGAATTCTATCCCCAACACTCGGGCCAGGGTCTACAAAGGTCGTGCTCGGGTCCCTGACGCTCGAGCTTTGATCTCCGGCACTCGGCCCCGAATCCACAAAGGCCATGCCTGGGTCTTCGGCGCTCAAGCTTGGGTCCCTAATGCCTAAGCCAAGGTCTACCGAGGCTGAGGCCTAGGACATTGGTGCCCTTTATCGGGTCTATCGAGGCCCGAGCTTGGGCCCCAGTGCCCATGCCTCGATCTCTAGTGCCCGAATCGAGGTCCATCGAGACCGAACCCAAGATTTTAGTATCCATACTCAGTTTTTTGACTGCTTATGTGTAAGTTACTAGAATCCGAATAGTGTATTTTTATTTTGAAAAATCAAATCAAATTTTCCATACCAAACAACGGAAAACATTTCAGCTCATTTTCAGGTTTTAGCCGAGCACAAAAAAATAATATTACCATTTTGCCAAAAAATAACTTTATAGAAAATATTTTTTTAAAAACATTATATTTTTTGCGAAATATACGTAAATCTTCAGGAACTCTCTGGAACTCCGGCCCCAAATGCGGACGAAAGTCTTCTGCTCCATTCGCTATCCTCCTCCTCGAACTCGAAGCAGGGTTTTGGGGTTCTGAAAGCAGCCACTGCAACAGAGACGCGCACACCAGCACTGGTCATCTCCTTATCCATGGCGTCCACGTTCGTCACGTTCCCAAGACCCTTCTCCGTCAAACCCACCGCTCCCTCCTTGTCCAACCAGAGGCCCCTCGGTACAAGTAAAGCCTTCTACATACGCACACGTTATCTCCTTTCGCTTCGCTGTTTGCCGTTTCTTCTTTGGTTGACGACCGTGTTTCGACCCCTGAGCAGGGCTGCGAAGGAGCTCTTTGAGAATCAACGCGGTTGCCACGAAATGGGAACCCACCAAGGTACCCTTTTTCTTTTGAAGAATTCGCGAATGCCCTTTGGCGGGGTTCTTTTTCTTTGCTCTTCTGTTCCGTTGAATTGCACAATGTGCTGCTGCAAATGGGTCTTTGGGGCTTAATCTCACGGTGGTGAAATTTTGTTGGGGGAATGAAGGTTGTCCCACAAGCTGATAGAGTCCTGGTTCGCCTTGAGGAGCTCCCTGAGGTACATTTCATTGAAATTCTTCTCCTTGGGTAATTCGAACTGTCCCCTTGTTTTGAGTCAGTTTTGCTATTTCGAATTCATGGCTTGCTGACATGTCTTGAACCTTACGAGCACTTTATGCTTTACCTCGAATATGTATCGTGCAAGTGGGAATGCTGATATGTGATCGAGTTCAGATCGAATAGCAGTTTGTTCATGGCAGTTTTTTCTGAAGAACTGTTAAAAGGGATCGGACAGCAGTTTGTTTTCTGCGGATGCTGTATTCCAAGCAGCACGCACTTTGGACAAAAACGATTTATAGTCTTGTTTATTGAGCGGTTCGGATGGAGTGGAAGATTTGTGTGTCTATGCTCGACTCCACTAGTAACGGGGAACGATCTAGAAGGAATTTTGTTATAACTAAGCTCATGTCAGTTCTAATAATGTAGCAATGGTATATCTGAATGGTGTTCTTTACCAGCAAGAATTATCACGCATTGCAACTTATGTCTTGTGGCATATACGGCATAATCCTCAATTGCTTGTAGCACTTTTGCTTGATCTATTGCTTAATGCTGCAGAAATCTGCTGGTGGAGTTTTGTTGCCTAAATCTGCTGTCAAATTTGAGCGTTATCTGATGGGCGAGGTGAGTACACTACTGCGATTTACCATATTATGTTGATTAAATTTTGTTTCAACTTCAAGCAGGATTACTGGCAAAATCTCAGCTGAACCCAATACCCTTGTTACAGGTTCTTTCTGTTGGCACAGAAGCGGGGGTTGTGGATTCTGGAAAGAAGGTAGGAAATTCTGTGCTTATGCATGCGTTTGTGTATGTGTGTGTGGAGTGGGAATCGTCTTACGGTTGGTTCCAGAAGTTCTAAGCTAACCTGAATTAGTATAATGGTGATTCTCATATTGCACTTTGTAGTTCTACTATAACATCGTCTTTTTCACATTCCATATCTTGTCAACTCTCACATGCTAATTCACCACCAAGGCACGCCTGGTGGCAAGGGGGGTTGGGGGTGGGGAGGGAAGTCCGTGGTTCAAACCCTGGCACAAGCAAAAAAAAACTCTCGCGTGCTAATTCTTAAGCTCTCTGCAAACGCATTGTGGGAGATCAGTGCTCTGGGGGCCATCTTCTTGAGAGTCAGAGATACTAGATTTCTTTTGGTTCCAAGAGAGGGAGATAGAGTGGCAGATTTTCTTTTGTTGGGCTCTTAGGGATTTTTGTTTTCTGGTATTTATATCTAGAAAACCTCCCTGTGCTGGCGAGGATGAGTTGTCTTTCTAATTTATGGTTGTTAAGCTGTAGCTTCAATGGGATGCATTCATGTAACTGTATTACGTTGTAGTTGGTTAGATGAGTCTTTTTTTACAGCCGAAAAAGAATTAAATTCTCAACTGAAGAAATGTTTCTATGTTGCAGGTGCTATTCTCTGATGTAAGTGCCTACGAGGTATGCCGGTTTTCTTTAAGATTCTTCGTGAATGGCATCTTTCCATCTACATTCGTTCTGTGATTATCAAATATGACACTGCCTTCCAACAATGTTAGATGTCCCTTTTGCTGCATCAAGTTCTTCAGTGGAGATTTGTCATTACTCAAAACACTATCATTTCTTTAATCTGCTTTGACTGCTGTATTGTAATGGATACTTTAGCTTGCCTGGACTGATGAAGAAGACCCCAAATGACAAGGAACTTGTTCCTTTAGAAATTTTTAGTATACCTTTCTCTCTAATCCATCCTCGATGAATCTATTCTGAGAGTCGGCGTAATGAGGTTCAGCTATGCAGAAGGAAGAGGTCTCTGGATAGGGAAATTGTTGGTTCCTCTGTCTAAACAATATATTCAGTTGGATGCTATCATGCAACTTTCTTTTCATGAATCTCTCTAAAATTACCAATGGCTGGTCATTGAGGAATGACTCTGGAGGATTTTCAAGTCCTCTCTACAAGCAGTGTAGGCGAAACAGTTTTGATACTGGGTAGATGTTGTTGGTCCTTGTGAAGCAAATGAACTTTTAAAGCATATCTTGCACCTCCCAGAAACTAGCATCTATGTTCATGCAGCATTAATTTGCATTTGAAGGCTTTCACGTTAATTAATATCTTGATGTTATTAATACTCATGCAATCGAATTGATGAATTTGTTGTGATTTCTGCAGGTGGATCTGGGAGGAGATGCCAGACATTGCTTTGTCAAAGCGGGTGATCTATTGGCAGTGGTTGAATAGAGATTTCGCTAAAAGCTAATGTTGGGCATTGGACGTGTTTTATCAAATTTTTGGCCTCTGTAAGGTGTAATTATAGACGCGCCTATTTAAACATCTCTTTCGCGGTGAACGGCCAATAGTTGATGCAATTTCTTTATGCTTTATGAAAAACGAATTGATCTTGATATGCTTTTCTGATCATGTCATGTGTGCATTTTTGCCCCTTCATCTCTTCCCTGTGCAGTTGTATGCATTTAGATTTTTAGAAGCAACCTGTTCGTTTGAACACCTCTCTCTCTCTCTCTCTCTCGATTTTTTCCCATGTATGAAGCTGAGACTAATGCTAATTCACCACTGTACCCCTTAACAACACCATAAAATCACTCTTTCATTGTCGTTGTCACAGCCATTGCAACAACCCCCAAACCATCCAATTTCTTCTACCATCGTCATTGTTGCCTTTGATCACACTTGACCTGCACCTCTGGTCCCAACGGTCGGCATCGCTACCTCGCTGTTGGACAGGTGTGAGTATTTGTACGGAAGTTGGACTACTTCAACTGAAACAATTTGAAACTGAGACTTATTGATTATAGGCTGTGGATTTGGAGGTTTATATGACTGTAGGAACACTAACAGGTAACGTATTGTTTTCCTTGGTTCAACTCAGGCATCAAGCTACAACTAAGTCAACTCAGGAATTTTGATGCAGCGTATTCATCGACAATGTTAATGAGTGAATTTTAGTGACCACTTTAAGAATGTTTACTGAAAGCTAATTTTGCTTGGAAAAACTGGAGGAAGTGAAACCATGCAAAATCTGGTCAATTTCAAAACACTGGCTCTGTGGTGCTTTTTTGTACGTTACAAGATTTTATCTGTTGAGCTTCAATTTCTGGGCTATGTTGGTCCTATTTCCGTTTGATACAGGGCTGATGGTACCCTTGACTTGACATCCTTTGTTCTATTCCACTAAAATCCTCGTTTTTGTTTTGCTTCGGGGTTTTGCTATGAATCATATCTTCAATCGACCCGTCTTGCCTGCCAATATGAAGCTCGTCCAGGAGTGGAATAATCAATATGCTAAGAAGCGTAGACCGACATCATAACTTAGTTAAGCAAATTAAGAAAACCTTAAAACCAATAAAAAAGAAATTCTAAAGCATCTTGAAAGATCTAAAATTGTCCATAATCCTTTCACCAATTCCAAGTCAACTCTATAATAAGATGCCCGCAGAATTTCTCTGGCAAAATTTTTGAACTTTTAGTTAAGGTTACAGAGGTCAACCAACAGGTGAGAATAATGTCCCTTGAATACCAAACTATGTTCCCACCCCCAAATTTTTCTCATTGAGCCATTTGCTCAAGGCATTAGTCTTTGTTGTAGGTTTGATTTACAGACAATTGCATCAATTTCAAAGTAGCTATCGAGATGTTGGGATGTGATTCTCTCAATCAATTGATTTGATTTATCATCTCCATATCACGGTATATCATTCCTCATTGGTGATTCAGTCATGATGAGAGGTAGTCCATTAAGGGTGTCTAGCATTGACAAAACTGTTGATTACTTGTAAGAGTATGTTCAAATCATGCGCCATTAGGTGCTTGAATCATTGCTTACTGGACGAGCTCATCATCCCGTCCCATCGAAATGCAAATGGAGGACTCAAGATCGAGGATACGCCTAAATCCAAACTTGTCCTTCACAAATTAACCAAGATTTCTTAAGACTAATGATAGATTGGCGAATCAAATCGAGAGCTTGCAAACCAAGTTTTAGATCACTCGGTGGTTAATCAGCATAGAGTGCCAAAAAACAGGACCGTTACTGTGAAAGTCCCATAATCAGAGTTCTTTCTAAAAGATTGCTTCCACACGCCTTTGTTTCGACAGGTTAATAATTTACTTATGTTTCAGATTTACATGTCCCAAGTCTAAAACACCTTGTTAGAAGGGGAAGAGACCAAAATGCTGTCAAATCTATCTCATCTTAATGGTAGCCTTCAGGCCGATGAGAAAACCTTCACGGAAGTCCATAGATTAGCACGACGCATTAGCTTTAACCCCTGTTTTTTCGACAAGGAAGCCTATTTTGGTAGACAAACCCAAGAACACCTTTTCAAGAGTAGGTAGGCTATATAAAACCCGAGTGGGTTAGCTATAACCTTTTAATGCATGCATGTATGCGAGTGCCCGAGCGCTGCCGGGGAAAGCAAGAAAAATCAGCTTCAATCCCCTGTCACACCTGTTCCTATAGATTAGGTTGTTCATCTCCCGCTATCCCCTCCTCCAGACATATGCTTGCTAGGAAAAGAAACATTAAAACAGGTAATGAAACCTGAAGATGAACCCATCCTTGCCCTTTCGCCAATAGTACATGTTACTAATTAAAGCCTCAATGGAAGACAAGAGAAAACAACAATTATGGCGAAAGACAGTGACCATCAAAACTCAAACAGTCTCAACTCTACCATACCCTCTTTCCTTTTGGGGGAGTACCAAGCGACGACTTTCCCAGATTTCAAGAGCCTGAGAGAGTAGCTCAAACTATAGATTAAATCCTCGACATGCGGGCCTTGTCTTCCTGATAAAGAACCCAGGGAGAACTTGGAATCTACACGGAACATGATCGGCCCTGCGACCTAATGATTCAAGCCCAAAAATCAGACTCTACTATCAAAGAAGCTGCTTATGAGATCCTAACAGGCAAGGCCAAATGTAATCTCTTCTGTACAAGCTTTAAGAAATTCACGAGGAAGTGTGTGCTTCATGGCAAAAAAGAGGTAAGCAACTTGTATGAAAATAGCATTTGATGCAAGAAGAGAGACTGATCTTTGTGACAATGCTCGTGACAGAGAGCTCTATAGAACCATTGAAGGTACATTTAACTTTTTCATATTATTGAAATAACAAATCTCCTTCTGCTCTAGCAGATAGTTCATTTTAAGCTTCACAGACGCCTGTAAGTTCCTCTCTCTCTCTCTCTCAAAAAAGAAAAACAAATTCAAAGTGGGTTACAGTGCTCCATATTACACTACTATTATATTAATAAGAATTTCACATCAGATCTCCTGCTCTTGCAGATAGTTCATTTTAAGCTTCAAGGATGCCTTTATGTTCCTCTCTCTCTCTCTCAAAACAGAAAAACCAAATCAAGTGTGTTACTGTGCTCCATATTACACTACACCACTATTATATTAGTAAGAATTCACTAATGACCATCTCTCTCTCTCTCTCTCTCTCTCTCTCTCTCTCTCTCTCTCTCTCTCTCTCTCTCTCTCTCATATCATTTCACTAATGACCAGAACCTTGGCAATCCAATGATGTCATGAGCCATCATCCTTGTCATTGGGTACTATCAGATGACAGCTTCTCTATAATTTCTTTTTCTTTCTATTTAGGATAATCAATCTTGCAAGTTGCAACTCCTTTTGTTTTGTTTCTATTTAGAAACTTGGGTCACTAACAGATCTGCCGTTTCTATCCTATACTACTTCCCTTAGCTAATACTCAAAGAAAAACACACAGCTTTTCCCTCTTTTGATTTTCCCCTGCCCTTCCATGTAATGCAAAACTGATAATGTAATGGCTCCTTACCAACAAACATACGCACAGGAATTAGACCAATTCAAGTACAATAAAGTACCTGCTGCTGAAAAATTAAGTTCACCCTTGGAGAAGATGATGGCCTACGAAAGCTGCTCACTGATGAACCACTCAAAACATTGAAAACTCGCTGGGCCAATGCTGATGCAGAGGATATGTCTAGGCGAGCATCTATACGGGTGAGGTCACCGTATATTTTTCTAAACTTCCCGTGTTGGAAAGTATAGCACACTGAACCATATAAATCAGCACTGAATGGTCTCCTCTTTGCACTAGCAACAGGAAAAATTCCACCTTCCCTTGATTCAACAGCAATAGGAAACTCTGGATTCCAAAACCAGGCCGTACATATGCCACCTAAAACATAGCATTTCATAAGGCTTTAACCTCACAAAAAGAAACTACAATTCTGTATATGATATCAATTATTAAATCGACAGAGGAAAGAAACATTCATCATAATATAGTCAAGAAGTCCATGCAATCAGCCAAATGTTGAAAAAGGTGTTCCACTTTTCTCTTGATCAGATAGTTAATAAGCAAGTATATCATGACTATACACAGGCAACACGTACTGTTATTGTTTCCCTGTAACATGCATACTGTTATCAATTCTTAGCAGAAGAGAATTTAGACTCATGAGGGACTGAAGAGGTTTGAACCAATGCGGGACTAATGAGCAAAATGGATGTAGCAACAGAACAAGAATAATATCGAGGTCAACCTTCCTCTTTGACATTTCATACATTCTAAATTCTAATAGTCCTTTTAAATTCAATTTGGGACAATCATGTCTATTAGCAAAATGTCAAGTCTGTCCTCACTCCTCTATAGTTCATTTTATTAAAATTAATTCTGTCCATGGCTTTCAGAATCCTGTGATAAGATGAGAACAGACCCAGCATATTCTTCAATCTGGCCAAGTGATACCATCATTCTCCATCAACTTCAGGGTTGATGGGATGCTATTTACTGGATGTGATGTAGTTTACACACTGACATTGCAGCTTGGATACCATCACTTACCCCAACCTAACACCATTACAACAACTAAAGATAATGCCGGCTTAAGATAATGCCTTGATTGCTCAATAAACATGATATACAACGTTTTCTAGTAGTCTTTAAGTCTGCAACTACAATAACTAGCAAGTTATCTTAAAGCCACCAAGTAATTTACAATAACCTTTTCTACCAGTCACCTATAAACTTGCAAAAAAAAAAAATGAAGTTTTTGACGTGGGAAGTAGTTTCAAACCCCTCTCTCTCTCTCTCTCTCTCTCTCTCTCTCTCTCTTTCTCTCTCTCTCTCTCTCTCTCTCTAAATAATTCCAAGCACTGCAGTTCCTTTATAACAACCAAACCAATAAATCATGACCTTTCATCAATTAGAATTCACAAGTGCAATGTATACAGTATGCTGCCTCACATCTGAGATAAAGAGACTCTTGATTCATCATCTTAGCAGTGTGAAATTAGTCAATTCGTTCAAAAGATAATGATAGAAAATTTAACGATATTAATTGCAGGAAAATCAATCAAAAAGTACTAAAGTGGGTGGGGATGATACCAATTATGGCAGATACTGCAGAATGAGGTTCATTAAGACGTATATCATATGAGGGCCTCCAAAAGAAGCCCTTCTCTGTCTTTACTATGACATCCTCTTTAGTCTCCTCCTGCCTCCAAAAGTCTTTACTCTTTTCATAAGAAAAGGCAGCCTTTGCGCATAGGCCAGGCATTAAAACAGAAGGTGGTTCAGCATTTGTCGAATTAGTGGCATGGGGATGACCACCGTTCTTGTGGATTCCGAACCGGTATCTGAATCCAGACTCAGAAACAAGGGACAAAAGGTCCAATGATATTGATTCAGGAACATCCCAATATCTACCGTTATGATCCAGAAATAACCCAGGCCAGGCAGCCTCCATCATGATATCATGATTAGGGAGCTGTAGGTAAACAAGCACACAAGACCAAACGACCTTAATTGGCTGTTAAACTAGAAAGCACTACAAATAAAATAAAAAAACCAACATGTCCAAGACAGAACTTTTTCTATTCGTACAGCTAAAGGGACACATCATTTGCTTGCAATAATTTTGTTATAAGACACCGAATATGATAATCCTAGTTATTGTCAAACGGAAGAACATCTACTGGACAATTTCTAATTTTCACTGATTCAGCTTCATGGTATACCAAGATCCATCGCGTATCTAATTATATGGAATGCCATCATACCAGTAAGTTCCATATTCCCAAATGCTTAGTGTGGCTTCTGAATTAAAGTCAACATCCTACATGTTCTGAGATGTACATTGATATTGGACAAAGTTCATATTAGTGACCCAGCAAGTGTTCCCAAAAAATGCATTATGCAAGCGCGGAGATATTCTTTTTGATGGCAATAGAACTAGCATACTGATAAGCAAGTTTCTTAGTGGAAGCCATCAGAAAAGCAGCAATGCTTATTGGGTGGCATAGCTTAAAGAGAAAAACAAAGCATATTCTTATTGTGTAGATCAATACATGTTTTTTTAGCAGAAAACCCATTTGAAGATTCGTGAAACAAAGGTCCCAAGAAAAGGAAGCAGTTTCCTTCCTATGAAAATAAACATGCCTGTATACACGTGACTAGAAAAGTCAAAGCTGCACATTGTGAACCTTATATCTAGGGCAGACACGAAAAACAAAACCAAGTAATATGACATTTCTGATGAAATATGAGGGAGTAAAGTAACTAAGATAGTCTGAAGCACATGCCTTGTGAAAGAGCATCAGTTTGTGGCGGCGTCTTTCCTTCTCACCAAGCTGTTCTGTGCCAAGAAGAACTGATGTCGAGGGCAACAGAGAAAGCTGTGAGCACATACCAAGTGAGTAAAGCGACTTATCCAAGAAATGTTTTGCCACATCCTTCAATGCTGAAAGCTCCCATTCATCAACACTAGAAATCTCCGCTTTTATGGAATTGATCAATTTCTTTGGTCGGAATTGCCCAAGCACTCCAAGCCACCTATGCAAACCGAGTTAATGTGAGCTTAACGGTTTAAAACCACACTGGTCGGAAAGGTGAAATTAAGACATCCATGCTTGTGAAAGTGATTCTCAATCACTACCTTACAATGGAATGACTATGATAGGATTCAACTTCACCAATCATGCCAAAAAATGAATGACTATGACTCCCAACCTACGTAGAGTAGACCCATTTGTCTCAAAGATTAACTTATCAAGAAACCATCTGGCAATTTACATCGAGATTGTGACTCAACACTCCTCACACATAAGCCAGGCTAAACTGCGAGGCACGGGATGAGATGAAACAACAGCACAACAGAGAAAACCAGCAAAAAACCAAGAGCTTAAATAAAACAAACAAGAACCGAGACCAGGACATCAAATTCACACACCGACTTAGCAGAGCCTTCTTTGGAAAATCTCAAGCAATCACTGCAGGCCAATAACACAAATGGACCTCATATTGTCATTTGCAGACTTCAGCTTTTAATCCCAACTGGGGTAAGCAGCCAGGAAGGGCATTATCATCTCGGAGGACTATGAACAGTAAACATGATTCGGTCATTTCAGATAGACCACAAAACCATAATTCTCAAACAAACTAAAATTCGGTCGCCCAACGTGAATGCCAAATTCCAAACAGCCACAAAACTGCAGGAAAAAAGAAAAACTACCCAGCAACAAAAAATTCGCAGAAAACTTCAACGCGAAACATCAAACAGAGCCCATCGCCAAAGCTCGACTCTTTTTTACCCCCTCTTTCCTCACCAGTTAGCAGTGGCGGGCCTCAGGAAGAGAGACTGGAGAGAAAAAGAGCCCAGCTCCTTGTGGGGGGTGGGGGAATAGGAAGGGATGATGCCCAGAGGGAACCCATTGCGCAGAAACGAGAGCTGCTGGAAGCGGAGGGCCCGGCTGGCGACGGCGCCGTCGAGGGGGACGGGTTCGCCGGGGACCAGCTTGGCGGAGCCGTCGAGGGCCTGAGGGGAGGCGACGTTGAGGTCCCAGAAGGCCGCGTCCATGGCCGTCCTCAGGTTCGCCATTCTCTGGGGCGGAGGCGGAGGCTCGAGCGGAAGCTGAGCGTATCGTGCGCGGCGGGTGCGGAGTGCCGCTTCGGCTGTGTCGTTGTTGCTCTTCCTTATCTGCGAGCGACCGGCATGTTTTGCTTGTTTTGAATGATGGGCGAGGGAGCAGATGAAGGCTTGGGTTTTTGGAGGATTCCCTCCTGGGTTTTGTGAGACGAGGTACCACCCTTTCTTGTTTTTTTTTTTATGTCTTTTCAAGGGTAATGGCACAAATAATCTATGAATTTTGGATCGATATATAATGCGATTCCTGAATTTTTAATTTGTTTAATATGATCCCTAAACTTTAGTCCAATGTAGTCGGTGAATTTTAAATTTATTTAATGTGGTTCCCAAACTATGGCCCAATGTCCAATGTGATCCACGAACTTTCAATTTGTTCAACGTGGTCCATGGACTTTTGATACATGTTCAACTTAGTCTCCGAACTATGTGAAGATATTCAATGTTGTCCTTTCATTAATTCAAGTTTAGGGACAATATTAAACATTTTCATATAGTTCGAGGACTAAATTGAACACGTACCAAAATTCTATGGATCACATTAAACAAATTGAAAGTTCAAGTATCACACTGCACATTAGGCTATAGTTTAGGGATCTTATTAAATAAATTAAAAGTTCATGGACCATATTACAGATTGGGCAAAAATTCAGAGACCATTTATGTCATTTTTTCCTTTTCGTTTCTCCACTAAAAGGAGTATTTTTACGATTTTCCAACTTTTTAGTTTTACTTTTCACGTCAAAGAATTTAAAATGGGAAATTATTACAAAAATAATCTGATGTTTGTACATTTTGAAATGCTTACGGGTTCCAGATTACCAAAAAGAGAAGAAAAACAAAGCAAAGGTCGCAATAAAGAGACCTTTGTTTGCACCTTTCAATTAATAAACTGAGCTACTAAAACGCGAGGTAATTAAAAAATAAAAGATTCAGACATATAGAGTAGTGTTATGTGCATCAAAATTGATCTGCAAAATTAATTTATTCAGTGATGTGATAAATAAAAAAAATCAAATAGTTAGATAAAAGGATCATACTTGGCACCCACTAAAATAGGGAAATTACTAAGAAAGTCATAAACCTACTGCATTTGTGTTGATTCAGTTCTAAACATTTTAATTTGACTATTTTAGTCATAAACCTTTTGATAATTTGTTAATTTAATCCTAAACCTTTTAATTGTGCCAATTTAATCTTAAACATTTTAACAATTTAGTCTTTTCGACCAAAATATAGCGTCTAGTCAACGCCGGACATCTTGTGCGGCACAATCGACACTAACGTAGATAATTGCTCGTATTTTTTTAATTTTTGTATTCTTTTTTGTTCAATTTTCTTTTCTTTTTTCTTTCCCCCTTTTAGAGGGCACGGAGGTCGCCGACCGACCCTCGCCTAGTCTGGCGAGGGCATCGTGGCCCTCACCGACCAATAGGCGAGGGTCATGACCATCGCCTAGATCTAGGTGAGGGCGGCGAGACCAAGCAAGGGTCATCCCCTAGTCGCTTGTGGCCGGCTAATGTTAGCTGGCAATCTTGTCGACCAAGAGTTGGAAAAAAAGGGAAAAAAAAAGAGAAAATAGGATAAAAGGAAAAATAATAATAAAATTCAAAAATTTTTAAAAATTATTCATGTCAACATCGGCCATCGCCAACCATACAGTATAAGATGGCCGGCATTGACCAGAATATTACGTCAGCATTTTCCGACCAAAATTGGTTGAAAGACTAAATTGGCAAATTGTCAACACGTTTAGGACTAAATTGGCACAATTGAATGGTTTAGGATTTAATTGGCACTAGTGCAATAAGTTCAAGACGTTTTTGGTAATTTCTTCCATTAAAATATTGTCCGATTATTTATTATGTCAGTTTCAAAATTTATTATTAGTACATCGAGATCAAGCTAAGAACTACATTGCTTCTTTCCAAGTCAATGGATTTGTAGTGTCCACTCTATTGCATCCCTTGCTCGTAAACATGGGATATGGCTCTTTATTAAAAGGTCATACAATCTTTCTCTCACGATAAGAGTTGAATAGTTAGTCTCGTCTAGGTTTAGTTGATTTCGCGAAAAATAAATGATTTGAAGATTATTTTCTTAAAAATAATTGCTTATCTCCCTTACAGAAAGAAAAATGTTTTCATTGTTCACGAACATATTTGGATATAAACTGCTGTCGGTATTGCATTGGCTAACTATTTCAAACGGTACATATTTTTTGAAAAAATGTTTTATTTGTCTATTTGATCACGTGGCTTGTTGCAGAAGCAATTCTGTCTTCACACAAAAATAGGAAAACCTCTTAGGAAATGAAAGCTCCTCTTAAAGTGTATTTGTTTCGCAAAAATTGAATAATTTAGAAAATATTTTTCTAAAAATGATCGACCATATCTCTTACAAAATATACACGAACGAAAAATATTTTTATTGTATCTAAATTGTCTTCGACGATGAAAACATTTTTCATCGACTAATTATTTCAAGCGATACAAGCGATTATTTTTATGAAAATATTTTTCAAATCATTCATTTTTTGCGAAACAAATGATGGGTCCTCCCCAACTATATCGGGACACACGAGAAGATAGGGACAATTTAGAAAATTTCCAAAGTATTATCTAGTGCAAAAAGGGTAAAAATTTCAGTAAACAAGGAAATATCCAAATAGACCAACATCCAGCGCCCAATCAACTGGATTGGCCTAGTAAAGTTTAAAAAAAGGAAAATGTAAAAACCTAGGAAATGTAAATCCACAGCATTAAATCAGGACCAAATTTCGTGGTGTAAATTAGATGGTCATTGCCACCCAAAAAATAAAAAATCAGATGCTCATTTGCTCCTGATTTATCTCTTCCTAAATTGGCTCAATTTCCTAAAAAGAAGAATTTGTAACCTAAATTGCTCTTCATTTCCATAATACAGAGCATGGATCAACCCCTTATAAATTGCTGCATGGTCTTCATTTCATCAACCCGTTCTAATAAGCAAGAAGAGAGGGAAAAGGAACAGAGAAAAAAAACGAAAGATGAATAGCTTACTCTGCACCTTGTCCCTCTTCCTAGCCTCCTCTCTCGTCCTCTTCCATGCCAGATCGGTGGCTGACGTCGTTGCGGACACCTGCAAGAAGTCCGCGGCCTCGAGCCCGAACGTGAACTACGACTACTGCGTGAAGGCTCTCGGGTCGGACTCGAGGAGCAGCTCGGCGGACGTCCAGGGCCTGGGCCTCATCGCGCTCAACCTGTTGGAGAGCAGCGTGACGAGCACGGCCTCGCACATTCAGGAGCTGCTGAAGCAGAAGCAGGACCCGTACGTCCAGAAGCGCCTGACGGATTGCTCGGACCAGTACTCGGACGCGGCCGACAGCTTGAAGGGAGCGGTCGGGTCGTACCAGGCGAAGCAGTACCTGGACGTCCAGACCGCGGTGTCGGCAGTGTCCACGTACGCGGACACGTGCGAGAGCCAGTTCAAGGACAAGGAGGGCGCGACCTCGCCGTTGACGAAGCAGAACGGCGACGTGACGCAGCTGTCTTACATCGAACTTGCCATTGTTGTCATTGTTAAGGGCTCGTGAAGGGTTCGGGATGATGACCGGGGTGCCTCAAGAATAATGCTCGTTTTTTGTCCTTTGATTCGGTCATGGTTTTGCGTTGTCCAGCGTTATAGCTCTGGAGTTTTGTTTTGGCTTCTTGCGCATTACCAATGGTTATCGTGAATTTTACTTATGACTTTTAAATTCTTATATATGAATTTAATGGTTCTTAATTTGACTTTAATTTAACGTGCGAGGCCATTAAAAAAGACCTTCCAAACCATATAGATCGGTCTATGTAGATTGATATATAATATGTCCTCATTTTATAATGTTTGAAATAACTGTTAAATTGAAATTTTGGAAGGAAATTAATGACGTTGCCCTTTGCATAACAAGGCATGAATTATGATTTACACTTAACAAACTATTTTGACCCAATTTGAGCTCTTTTTAAGGAGGCGAATGATGGTCGAATCATTTTCTATATAAATATACTATTAGAAAGAGGGTATGGATATTTTTCATTGTGCAATGTGGCATGACATTCGATTATACTTTTATTCACCACTGACTTCAATTAAATGTATGTTTTAGGCTTTCTTTGTTTCGCGAAAAATAAATGATTTTAAAAACGTATTCGTCAAAATGATTGCTTAAATCGTTTACAATAATGAATAAACGAAAAATATTTACATCATTTACAAAAATATTTAAACATAAATTATTATTGATGACGAAAGCTTTTTACAACAATGGGAAATTTTTTAAGTGATACCAATAATCATTTACAGGAAAATGTTTTCCAAGATAAAAACAGAGCCTTAATTTCTTAATTTTGTAACCGATCTCAAATATATAAATTATATTTAATCATTTTTTTAATTGCAAGATAAAAATTGTCAAAATAAAATTCTTTTATTTAGGTATCAAGGTTAAATTCCAAAGAAAATCAAGAAGGTAATTAGAGACGCCATCTAGGTATTTTTTATATGACCACATAGGATTTCTTGTAATTGAAATATTAATTAAGTTTGAATAGTTGCTATATTCACACAAAGTAGGAAGAGTGTCAATGATATCCGATTTAAAACTAAGAAATCATTCAGCATTAATTTCTATAACAAGGGATTGAATGAGATGTATATGTCATCATATATTTTATACTCACTAAGTCTATTGAAACCTTCACCTTAGAGTCACAAAATATTTTCCCTAATCTCATTTATTTCCATATTCTCTCTAAATAAATTGGATTGAATAAATGTCTGTTTTAATTCTTCAATAACTACACAAGACTTTCCAATCCATTTGAAGATTTTTAAATATGAACTTTTGATATTGAGACTATTTACTATAGCTTTCCTACGATAGTTTTAGTTGTGAAAAAGAGTGTTTGGCGAGCACCTCAACAGCTACAACACCTCAAAGTTATGGCAGCTTACAATACTTCTTCAGGAAGCCGTATATGTAGTTAGTGAAGAATTAAAATACCGTTTTACGTCATCACAGTGCAATGAATGTATCAAATACCGTTCTACGTCCCCTTTCTTGTTTGAATGATGATGATATGGATTTAAATTTCTTCATTTTGTCCTAGGACTAAGTCTCATTCTCCCATGGCTATTGTGCTTTTTAATTGGAAATATTGTCAAAGAAGTTTTAAGCCGTCTATGTCATTACAGTGCAATCAAATATATAAAATACCATTTTACGTCCCCTTTCTTGTTTGAATTATGGTGATATGGAATTAAATTTCTTCATTTTGTCGTAGGACTAAGTCTCATTCTCCCATGGCTATTGTGATTTTTAATTGGAAAATTTGTCCAAGAAGCTTTAAACCTATTGTATGACAGCTAATTCAATCATAAACTTTCCAATTTGATCAATGTAATCTTAAACTTTTTGACGATTTTTCAATTCAGTCTATTTGATTTCGCCAAGAAATGATGACATGGAGGTTTAGTCGGCGCTGACCATCTTACGTGGCATGACCGGTAGCTAACGCGGAAGAAATGAATCGAAACGACGTTATCTTGGAAATTTTTTTCAAATTTCCTTAATTGTTATTCTTTTCCTTTGCTTTTGTTTCTTTTATTCTTTTCTTTTCTTTCGTACACCAGTTTTTGTCTTCTTGGGGGCTCGTCGGCCATTGGCTAGGGTCGCAACCCTCGCGAACCACGAGGCAAGAATGAGGCGGACACCACTTACAAGGAGCTCATCAAGATGGACAACACGGAGGTTGAGTTGTTGGAAATATTGAATAAATGTCTCTTTTTAAGCCGTCTATGTCATCACAATGCAATGAATGTATAAAATACCATTTTATGTCCCATTTCTTGTTTGAATTATGGTGATATGGATTAAAATTTCTTCATTTTGTCCTAGGACTAAGTCTCGTTCTCCCACGGCAATTGTGCTTTTTAATTGGAAATATTGTCCAAGAAGTTTTAAACCTGTTATATGTCAACTAATTCAATCACAAACTTTCCAATTGGATCAATGTAGTCTTAAACTGTTTGACGATGTTTCATCTTTTAATTCGGTCATGGTTTTGCATTGTGGAGCGTTATAGCGCTTGAATTTTGTTTTGGCTTGTTGCGCATTATCAATGGTTATCGTGAATTTTACTTCTGACTTTTATATTCTAGTAAATGAATTTTAATGGTTCTTAATTTAACTTTTATTTAATGTGCGAGACCGTTAAAAAAACCTTCCAAACCATATAGGTCGGTATATGTAGATTGATATATAATATGTCCTCATTTTATAATGTTTAAAATAACCATTTTATTGAAATTTTGGAAGGAAATTAATCACGTGGCCGTTTGTATAACAGGGCATGAATTACAAAGTACAATTAACAAACTATTTTGACCCAATTTGACCTCTTTTTGAGGTGGCAAATGATGGTCGAATCTATTCTATATAATTATACTATTAGAACGAGGGTATGAATATTTTTCGTTGTGCGATGTGGCATGACATTCGATTGTAGTTTTATTCACGACTGACTTCAATTAAATGTATGTTTTAGGGTTTCGTAAAAAATAAATGATTTTAAGAACATATTCGTAAAAATGATTGTTTAAATCGTTTACAAGAATGAATAAATGAAAAATATTTACATCATCTACAAAAATGTTTAGACATAGATTATTATTGAGGACAAAACCATTTTACAATGAGTAATTATTTTAAGTGATACAAACAATCATTTCTAGGAAAATATTTTCCAAATCGTTCATTTTTCGTGGAAAAAATGGAACTTTAATTTCTTAATATGTCCTCATTTTATAATGTTTAAAATAACCGTTATATTGAAATTTTGGAAGGAATTAATCACGTTGCCTTTTGAATAACGAGGCATGAATTATGAAGTACACTTAACACACTGTTTTGACCCAATTTGACCTCTTTTTTAGGTGGCGAATGATGGTCGTATCTATTTCTATATAACTATACTATTAGAAAGAGGGCATGAGATGATGAATGATTGCTTAAATCATTTACAAAAATGAAAAAGTGAAAAATATTTTCATCTTGCATAAAAATGTTTAGACAAAAATTGTTATCGATTATAAAAACATTTTGCATTGGCTAATTATTTTAAGTGATATAAACAATCATTTTTAGAAAATTATTTTTTTAAATTATTCATTTTTTGCAAAATAAACGGAGCCTTAATTTCTTAATTCTGTAACTGATTTCAAATATATACATTTTATTTAATCAATTTTTTTATTACAAGATAAATATCGTCGACATAAAAAAGTTCTTTTATTGAGCTATCAAGGTTAAATTCTAAAGCAAATCAAGAAGGTAATTAAAGACGCCACCTAGGTTTTTGATATTATACCACGTAGGATTTTTTGTAACTGAAATAGAAACTTATTTTGAATAGTTGCTATATTCACACAAAGAAGGAAGAGTGTCAAAGATTTCAGATATACCACTAAGAAATCATTCAGCATTAATTTCCATAACAAGGACATTTTTTTTTTGGTCGAACCATAACAAGGACATTGAATGAGATAAATATGTCACCACATATTTGATACTCACTAAGTGTTGTCAAACCTTCGCTTTAAAGTCACACAATATTTTCCCTAATCTCATTTGATTCCATATTTTCTCTATATAAATTGGATTGAATATTTGACAAATGTCTGTTTTAATACTTCACTAAATACATAAGACTTTCCAATCCATTGAAGATTTTTAAATATGAACTTTTGACATTTTCCACTGTTGAGAATATTTACAGCAGCTTTTCTTCAATATTTTTGGTTGTGAGAGTTGTTTGGCAAGTACCTCCAAAAGCTACGACACCTTACAATACTTTTTTAGGAAGTCGTCTCACTCAAATGTTGTAGTTTCAAAACATTTTTTACATGCATATATCTTTGAGGTGCTGTAACTTTAAGGATGTCCGTAGACATTCTAAGTTGGCTAGGCTATTGAGCATTTTAAAAAATCAATCTATCTAATCAACTTGAAAGTGTTTATCTGACTACCGTTTTTACATCTTGTTTGTAAAGTTACTTACTAGCGGGGGTTAATGTCTGGGTTCATTCCTCCATGTCATTGGCCAAATGATTTTGTATCCACATCACGTGCCAATAAATGTATAAAATACCACTTTACGTCCCCTTTCTTGTTTGAATTATGGTAATATGGAATTAAGTTTCTTCATTTTGTCCTAGGACTAAGTCTATTCTTCCATGGCTATTGTGCTTTTTAATTGGAAAAATGTCCAAGAAGTTTTCAACGTATCGTGTGACAACTAATTCAATTATAAATTTTCTAATTTGATCAATATAATCTTAAATTTTTTGACAAATTTTCAATTTAGTCCATTCTATTCCGCCGAGAAATGATGACATGGAGGTCTAGTCAGCGCTAACTGTCCTACGTGGCATGGCTGTCAGCTAACATGGAAGAAAGGGATCAAAACGATGTTGTTTTGGAATTTTTTTCAAATTTCGTGAATATCTATTCTTTTCCATTCCTTTTGTTTCTTTTATTCTTTTCTTTTCTTTCATACACCGGTATTTGTCGTCTTTTCGACATCACTAGTAATCACTGTTGGTCGGGACCTCGCTGACCATTGGCTAGGGTCGCAACCCTCACCAACCACGGGACAATTACGAGGCGGAGGCCACCTACAAGGAACTCATCAAGAAGGATAAC